CAGCCACCAGAGAAAACACTATGAAGGTTACTCAACAAATTAAAAACAGGACTACAAAATGATGCAGTAATCTTAGCATTGGGTATATATCCAAAGGAAATGGAACTAGTTTATAGAAAAGCTATTTGCATTCTCTTATTTATTACAGCACAATATGCAAGATTAGTAATCAACCTAATATTCAATGAATAAAAAGATAAAGAAAATATGATTCTTGGGCTGGGATTGTGGCTCAGTGGTAGAGCGCTTGCCTAGCACATTCGAGGAGCTGGGTTAGATCCTCAGCACCGCATAAAAATAAATGAATAAAATAAAGGTATTGTGCCCAACTATAACTAAAAATATACTTAAAAAAGAAAATATGGTTTATATATGCAATAGAATACATCCATTTACAAAAGGGAATTAAATCCTCTTATTTATGAAAATCTGGATGGATCTGGAGGAAATTATGTTAAATGTATTTGATTTAACAATGAAAAAAGACCAACACTGCATGATCTCACTCATATATGGAATCTAAAAAAAGTTGATCTCTCATAGAAGTAGAGAATATAATGGCTACCGGAGACTGGGGTGGTTGTTGTAGGGGGTTGAGACAATGTTGCTCAAAAGATAGGAGGAATAAGGTCAGTAGATCTATTGTGCAATATATTGGCTACTGTTAATAATATGCTGTATTTTTGAAAAATGTTATGACAGCATAAGTAAAGTGATCTCACCACAGAAATGATAATAATGTGAGGTAATGCATATGTTATTTAGCTATATTTAGCCATTCCACTACACACACACACACACACACACACACATCTACATAAAGAAATATACTTCAAAACATCATGGACATAATGAATGCATAGAATTTATGTGTTAATTTTTTAAAAAATAGAGTACTCCCAGGTAACTCTGCTTTCCTCCTTTCTTAGACATTCAGTTTCCTTCAGATATGGAAAAATGGAGTAATTCCCACAATTCTAGGATGATGTAAATACAGTGCTTTAGCCAGATGCCATTATAGTCTCCTAGAACTTATATGTAAAGATATAAAATGTGCACCTATGCCTAGGGGAAGCTCTACAGACAGGCATAAATCTGAGCTGCATGTTGAAAGATGGACACATTTTCCAAATGGGTTATATAAATCTAGATATTCAGCCTGGGAAGAAGGGTACTACCTGGAAGCAAGATTCTGGACCCAGAATTAAAGATGAGAGGGAAGACTAGATAAGCATGTAGCCCTGTGCTTCTCAAACTTTAACATAGATAAAAATCACATGGGGAGTTGACATGCTGATCTTGGTTCCATACTTGTAGGAAAGGGCCTGATACCCTGTATTTGTCAAGCTCCTGGATCAGGCTGATGTTGCTGATTCATGAAACACATAAGCGTTACACAAGGTACCTAGTGAGCAATAAGTGTTGATTCTGGGATGGTGAGGTAAGGTTTGACAGGAAGAGCAGAGATTTCACTCCCGTGCTGACAAAAGCCTAGAAGGGAAGAGAATGTATGAAGTGGCTTGGTGCTGCTCTGTAAAACTGGAGAACACTGCTGCTCTCCTTGGATCTGGAGAATTGTCACCATGGAAGAAGATGATCTCGGTGTTAACTGAATCTCTCCATTTCTAAAAAGAAGCCATAAATTCACTTTATTCTTAATATAAAATGTACTGGTTTGTAAATACATACACACATATACAAATAAAACATTCTGAGCCAAACAAATATAATTTTCTTGCTATATTTACAACTACTTTATCCAAATAGTAAGACAAGGTGAAAGGGTTTAGAATATGGGCAGAAACTGGCAGAAACTAGCACAAAAGGGAATCTGGAGGCTTACTATATAGTTGAACATTTAAATTAGAGTTCAAAGTGCGCATGACAAACAACAGGGATCAGAACCCAAGTATAAAAAAGGTGTGTAAAGAACTCAAAAAGCTAAACACACACACACACAAAAATAAATAAATAAAAATTAACCCAATCAATAAATGGGCCAAGGACCTGAACAGACACTTCTCAGAAGATGATATACAATCAATCAACAAATATATGAAAAAAAATGTTCATCATCACTAGCAATTAGAGAAATGCAAAGCAAATCAAAACTACTCTAATATTTCATCTCACTCCAGTCAGAATGGCAGCTATTAGGAATACAAACAACAATAAGTGGGGGCTGGAGTTGTGGCCCAGAGGTAGAGCACTCGCATTGCACATGTGAGATCCTGGTTTCCATCCTCAGCACCACATAAAAATAAATAAACAAAATAAAGCTATATTTTAAAAAAAACAATAAGTGTTGACGAGGATGAGGGGGAAAGGTACATTAACACACTGCTGGTGGGACTGCAAATTGGTGCAGCCAATATGGAAAGCAGTATGGAGATTCCTTGGAAAATTGGGAATGGAACCACCATTTGACCCAACTATCCCTCTCCTCAGTATATTCCCAAAGGACTTAAAAACAGCATACTACAGGGACACAGCCACATCCATGTTTATAGCAGCACAATTCACAATAGCTAAACTCTGGAACTAACTTAGATACCCTTCAATAGATGAATGGATCAAAAATATGGCATATATACACAATTGAATATTACTCAGCAATAAAAGAGAATAAAATCATGGCATTTGCCAGTAAATTGATGGAGTTAGAGAAGACAATGCTAAGTGAAGTTAGCCAAACCCAAGAACCCAAATGCTGAATGTCTTCTGTGATATAAGGAGGCTGATTCATAGTGGGGTAGGAGCGGGGACCATGGGAGGCATAGAGGAACTCTAGATAGGGCAGAGGGGTGGGAGGAGAAGAGAAACGGCAGGGGGTTAGAAATGATGGTGGAATGTGATGGACATTATTATTCAAAGTACATGTATGAAGACATGAATTGGTGTGAATATACTTTGTATACAACCAGAGATATGAAAAATTTGTGCTCTGTATTTGTAGTAAGAATTATAATGCATTCTGCTATCATATATAAGTAAGAAAATTAATAAAAAAAAATATAAGCATAGGGAAAACAAAGAAGACTCCTTAGAAATAGAGGGTTGGTGTTGGTAAGTATTGATATAAGTCTTGTTAGAGTAGAGGAGACTGAATGCAAGATGAGGATTTTGAATTGTTTTCAAAAACAACTGAAAGTCACAGACTATGTTTTTATGTCAGCTCTGTGCTAGCTAAAATCTAAAGTAGTCCAGGATAGCTAATAATTTAATGATTTTAATTTTGCTTTTATTCTGTCATTAAGCTGTCCCATGGGAGCATTTGAGGACTGCCTTGCTGAAGGAAACTCAGGTTGACACGAAGTTTCAACCCCTATTGTAGCGGTTATACGTGGGATCAGAATTAGCTAGTCTTATGTATTCTGTTTATTTCTCTGATATTATGGCAACCCTGTAGAGATTGGTGTTCCAGAGAGTGAGTGGTGTGGTTAGTCCTTAATCTGGCTGTATGTAAGGGAATGACAAAGTCAAAATGGATCCTTGCAGAATGATCCCATTTCAGAACAGCCTTGCTCAGGGTGCAGGAATTGGATGGAGGTGGAGGTACAGATTTAATAAATAAAATAACAGGGGAATAAGTAGTACCAGGAGGCTGGTTCATTGTAATGAGGGAGCAAGACAATAAAAGGGTCCATTTTATCTTTGAAATCCAAGTTCTTTGCAAGTATGATAGAAAACAAAGTTGTAAGAACAAATTTTGGGTTATCTATGAGTTCTCATTACAAGAAAATGCACAGCCTTTCTTCTACACAGGCATTTAAAATCAAACTAGCATTCACAAATTCTTTTGAGAGCATCTTAGGAAGACACAGTCAAGGCTCAGTGTTGCTTTGCTGTTTTATTGTTTGTCAAGACAATAGACGCTGACTCTGTAAGAAACTGTCAACATCAAAACACTTTTATTCTTCCTTTAAAAAGATAACACAATAAAGATATGACACAATCCTGGCTTATTAAGAATCTCTTAGAAACCCACTGGAAGTGTAGGAATGCTAGGGGAATTAACACCAAGCCCAAAGGACTCAGACTGAGGTAGGTGAAACAGAGGGCATCAGAGCTAGAAATTGTATAAGCTTTAAATAAAAGACCTCATTAAACCCATGTAACATTTTTTTGTAAATTTTTCAAATGCAACTCAGAATTTTCAGAGAGCAAGCAGTGTGAGAGCAAAACAAAGCCATATAGTAGATATCAGCTTTTATGGATCCCTTAGTACATTCCAAGTGATTGTTTATCAAAATTATTTAAGTCAAACATGACGATGAATTTTAACCACTTCTTATCAGTGCCCTAAAACAGAAACTTACAGTTATATACCAACCAAAGCAACCGATTCTATTAAGTCACATTCCTGTTGAGTCTCTCTAGGATCTTGGGTGTCTTTCTCAAAAAGCAGAATAGAAAGTTCTTTACCTCCAGGTTCATGTCACTTAGAAGATGGTTTCAGGCTTATCCATATCACCATTCATTATCATCGTTCTTCCTTTGAGATCAAGTACAGCAAAAAATTCCCCTAGGATGTTTTCCCTATTTTAGTTAGAAAGGGCGAGGGGTAGGGGTACATCAGTCCTATCTGAGCAGGAACCAGGCAAGCAATTAAGAGGCAAGTGTCCTGTCCCAAGGGAAAGGCTATTACCTGGCTATTGCTCAGCAGCATTGGGAATGCATTTTAGAGGCCAAAGGAAGGTGAGTACAAACATCCAAATGCACAAACATGAACCCAGAAAATTAACTAGATGGTGTTCTGTTCTTATGGAAAAATGAAAGAAATGAGGGTTATTTTTTCTGTCTTTGGTTTTTCATGTATATTAAATGTTGTCCCTTGGAACCCCTAAAAATTATTTTCTGACAACTCTAAGATGCAGAGATCTTCCGAGAGTCTTACTTTTTCTGTGATTTGGCTCCATCCAGAAAATGTGGTTTTGATTTGAATGATGATTTCTCTAGGCTGGTGATTTCACCTTGGGTTTTGCCTCTGTTCTTTCCAGGAAGCAGAATGTGCCTACGTACTCTTCGTTGTAGCCATATTTTGGATCACAGAAGCTCTACCTCTGTCAGTCACAGCTTTGCTGCCTGGTTTAATGTTCCCCATGTTTGGGATCATGCGTTCTACACACGTAAGTTCTTCTGCAAATGTTGTCATGATTAGATTCCTTATTTTGTGCTTATTTTTTAGAAAAGCTGCTTTTAAAGGGAGCAGTAATTCTGTTGATAAAGTTTCCCTGTAAGTCCCTTCAAACTTCCAGTTGTTCCTTTCCTCTGGAATTCTGCCTATGTGTCCCTCCCTAGGGAACAAACATAAGTTTCAAATTCTGGAATCACATGTATCTGTAGGAAAATTGTAAGTCTCATCTTCTCTTTAGGACATCTATCGTTGGTGCCTCCCTCCCAACAAAAGGGGCAATTCATTCACATCCTGCAGAAGTTAGTTGTTCTATTCACCAGAATTTGGTCTCAGCGTGTTGGAGAATAATTTTTGTTTTTAATGAAGAAAAAGCTTCTTAATTTTCTTTCTCTGAAAACTGCCATTTCAAAAGATAAAGGCAAATCAACTTTCATGTGTATTTATTTGTATTTTGTTCTTGCTGAGAAGAGTTTACTCATGCTGAGAGCTGTTTCTTACCTTTATACAATCTAAGGGTACCCATCTGAAGAAAATGGATTCAGTTTTGCATTAAAAGCATGAAATGCACTGAAACCAGAATATCTATCTCCATGCAGTCTTCTGACACCAAGCAAACAACTGTGTAAACCACAGATGAGGGCTGAGGATACAGCTCAGTTGGTTGAGAGCTTGCCTCGCATGCACAAGGCCCTGGGTTCAATCTCAGAACCACAAAAAATAAAAATAAACCACAGCTGAAACGTTCTCAGGAAAAAGGTCAAGTTCAAGTTGCCAGTCAGTGCAATTTATCACCTTTGGACTTCTGTCTTCTTCCTGGGTTCAACACTGCTCTCTTGAGGCTCGCTTGTGTTTAATGTGGGTGAAGATTTTCTTTTTAACTAACCCTGATTACAGTTTTTCTGGAGAGACAATCTGTTCCCTTCTTGATTGTCTTGTCATTTTTCTCCATTTTTGACTCCAAATCATTTTGCATTTCTTATCCTTCCTGCTCTTCTTTTCTTACTGTGTTTATCCCTCCTTCTAACCATGGCTCTTTTCTTTCTAATTAACAGTGGTTAGGAGGACAGCATGGCTAGGACTGTACTTCAGTTTCTCTTATCCCCGCATTGACATTCTGCTACCATAGAATCAGATAAAAAAAAAAAATCAAGTGTCTTAAATGTTCCAATGTGCTGCCTCTTTGTGGTATGCAGAGGACACAGACTTCAAACTTACAGGTACCAATATTAATTATATCTCTATAGCTGAGGAAACCTGCCCAAGATGCCAGCCAGCCTCATACTAACTTAACAGTCCCAGAATTTTAAATTTGGGAGAGAATTCTGGATCCACTAGAACCTGTGGCGGGGATCTCTTCCACAATATCTCTTATAGATCCTTCAGTTTTTAAAAGTTTTCTGAGTCATGGGCCTCAACTAACCCATATCACTTTTAATAATCATATCATTTTAAAATAATTTTAACTTTGAAGCAATGTAGCTTTATTGATCTCAAGTCTGAAATTTAGTCATTTTCATTTGTTAAATTATGTGCCATCTAAGATTTTACAAATAAACCTTATCTTTTGTTTGCATGACAGTATTGCTTAGATTTTTAAAATTAATATGATTTCCTCTATACATTCCACCTCTAGTCTTTAAGATTTCTAGACCACAACTTCCATCCTCAAATCGAACACCCCCAACTAAATCACCACCATCTTTTTTACTTCCCAGAACTAACTCTAGTTTGTCAACCATACTTCAGACTTAAATTAGTTAATAAATGTGAAGGTTTTTTTTTTTTTTTTTTTTTTACAAAATAAGTGTTCAATATATATTAGCAAATATTTAGATACTGGAGAAAAAAAATGAATAGATCACTCCAGAAACATTCAGATTGCTGCAAAAGAAAATTATCATCTCCACTCTGATATTTCAGCCTAAGTTTGTTTCAAACTTTATGTGACTTTCTGTACCTAGAAAGCTTAACAGTGGTCAAAACAGTTAGGAATTTTAGTGGAGAAGGCAGTTCTTCAGTCTTGTGATCCTTTTTCAAGACAGGGTAAATGACGTTAATTCATTAATAGTTGACCAAAGCTTCAGGATATTCTGGGAAGAGCTAGAGATTCAGTTTAAAGGCCTTAGCTTAAAACTCAATATTTGTTCTAATTACTTGTACAATCCTTAACATGCCATTTTAATATTCTAAAAGTGGGACATGATAAAACAACACAACTTCACCATTTTTGTAACAGAGGTGAAACAATGATACCCCATGGTTGTATCATTCTCAACTGTTGTTTTAAATTGATGGGAAACAATGATACAAACAATATCACAAGCATTATTAACAGTTTTAATATTCAGTTTTGAGAGTATTGAACTATCATTGCATCCTATTTCAGCATCTTTGAATATCAAACCTGTCATTGAGTAGGACAATGTGTCATTACTGTCCTCCTCTAAGTTCAGAGCCCTAAATACCTCTCTCTTTGGCCACCATATTTCTAACCCTAGTTTACCGATTTAGCAAGCCAATGTTAAACACTTATATCTCATTGAGCACATCACTTTAGTTGAAGAATATTGACCAATACTGAACTCTTCTCATATCTGTTGAATTAAACCTGAAATTCAAAGCGTTTGTGGTGTGCCCAATTTGATATTCCATAAGAAGTATCAATATTATTATTATTATTATTATTGAAAATATGTTTATAGATAAATTGTATATATAAATGTGAAATATGTACACATTTGTATATGTAAATATAAATAATGATATACATATAAATGTTATGTTACATGTTTACTTAGTAAATATTTATGTGGTAGAAATTTCCAGGCACTTGGAAAAAACATCAACATGTAGAAACAGACAAAAGATCCCTAACTTTTTAGGGGAACAAAAAGAGAAAACAAAATATCTGATTAATAGATGAATTAAATATTGAGTTACAAAGGTAATTAATGCTAAGTAAAAATGCAAAATGTTACTGAAGAACAGAGAGAATAGCCATTTTATATTGGCTGGGGTGGATCTCATGGAGATGGTGATACAGGACAAAGATTTGCTGGAGATGAGGAGGTTAGCCATTTGAGTATCTGGAGAATGACCACTGCAGAAGGGGGAACATCCAGGGCTTTTAAAGGCCTTCAGGCAGGTCCAAGTCTGCAGTATGACTGAAGCAGAATGAGTAAAGGTAGGAATGAGAGAAGATGTCAAGGAGGTAATGTGAGGAGGGACTGGACCAAATAGGGCCAAAGGAAGTCACTGTTAGGTTTTACCTCTTAATGAAGTGAAACCTTCAGGGGAGTTTGAGAGAAAAATGACATGATTACTCAGACTTTGATTTTTTTCCTCATATTTATTATTGTTGCATAATAATTACACATAGTGTGGGATTTATTGTTAAATATTCATACATGCACACAATAATTTGGCCATTGTCATTTCTCAGTATTTCCCTTTCCCTCCTCTCACCCTTCCCTCTGGTCCCTTTTCTCTCTTCTACTTATCTCCCTTCAGTGTTCATGAGATCCCCCATCTTCCTTTTTCCTTTTTCTTCAGTAGCTTTCACCTCTGAGTGAAAACATACGACCCTTGACTTTCTGAGTTTAGTTTGTTTCACTTAACATAATGTTCTTAAGTTCCATTCGGTTTCCTGCAAATGGCAAAATTTCATTCTTCTTTATGGTTGAATAAAACTCCATTGTGTATATGCATCACATTTTCTTAATTAATTCATCCATTGACAGACACCTAGGCTGGTTTCATAGTTTGGCAATTGTGTGAGTTGTGCCTCTATAAACTTGGGTATGCATGTATGGCTAGGGTATAACGACCTTAATTCTTTAGAGTTAATAATGAGGAGTGATATATCTGGGTCGTATTGGTGTTTCTATTCCCAGTCTTTTTTTAAAATATCTTTATTTATTTTTATGTGGTTCTGAGTATCGACCCAGTGCCTCATACATGTGAGGCAGGTGCTCTACCACTGAGCTACAGCCATAGCCCTATTCCCAGTCTTCTGAGGAAATTGAATACTGAGTTCCATAGTGGTTGTACTAATATATATTCCCTCCAAAATGTGTAAGTGTTCCTTTTTTTTCCTACATCTTCTTTAGCATTTATTATTGTTTGTATTCTTGATGACTGCCATTCTGACTGGAGCTAATTTCATTGTAGCTTTGATTTGCATTTCCTTAATTGCTAACCATGTTGAACTTTTTTTTTTTCATATATTTGTTGGCCACGTGTATTTTTTTCTTTTGTTAGTTCATTTGCCCACTGATTAATTGGGCTCTTTGGTTTTTAGTGTTACAGTTGTTGAGTTCTTTATGTATTCTAGACATTAATCCTCTATTAGAAAAGTAGCTAGCAGCCAGGTACACCTGTAATCTTGGAGGCTCAGGGGGCTGAGTCCTGAAGATATGATAGGGTTATATCATCCTGATCACAAGTTTAAAGCCAGATTTAAGCAAGTTAATAATGCCCTGAGCAACATCATAGCAAAACCCAGTCTCAAGATAAAAATAAACAAACAAAAAGGGCTGGGGATGTGAGTTACTGATTAAGTGACCCTGGGTTCAATCCCTATATCAAAAGAAGAGTAACTAGCAAAGATTTTCTCCCACATTTCTTTACATTTTCAATTGTTTTCTTTGCTATGCAGAAGCTTTTTAATTTGATGTCATCCCATTTCTCAATTCTTGATATTATTTCCTGAGCTTTAGGAGTCCTCTTGAAAAAGTTATTACCTGTACCTATATATTGGAGTGTTGACCTTACATTTTCTTCCAGGAGTTGTACAGTTTCTGTTCTAATTTCTAGGTGTTTGATCAATATTGAGTCGATTTTTGTGCAGGGTGAGAGATGAGGATTTAGTGTCATTCTACGTATGGATAACAGTTTTCCAAGCACCATTTGTTAAAAGTGCTGCCTTTTTTTGTAGAGTATGATTTTGGCCCTATTGTCTAGGTTCAGATGACTGTATCTGGAGAGTTTCTT